GCGAGGTGTTGTACTTGTGGTGTTGGAGATAGGGAAGCGGGTGTGGTCGCCGATGCCAATTGAGCGTCGCGATATGGCGCCAAGGCAGGAGCGTGTTTTGTGAGGAGCGTCGGTAGCTGTGTATACGCAATTCACTAGCCAAGTGGGTAACGGAGAGCCTAGACGGTGGGGACAGCGTGCGCCAAGTGCGGTGGGTGGATGGGGGTGATGTGATTGCCCGTCGACGGGTGAGGCTGAAAGAAATGTCAGGAAAGGCCCCCTCTCTGCTGCATCGCTCCCCTCCTAGTCGGGCCCCAGAGCAAAAGACATCCTGGGCTGTCGGAACGTCGTAGTCCAGCGCCCCGAACTTCCCCATATTATTTCTCCCTAGCCGTCTCCTAGGCCCGTGTCCATCTTATCAACTACGTACTTAGCATCTGCCGTGCCCTCGACTGCGAGGTAGTTATGTCACACCCGCCCACGCCCTCGTCCACACCTCCCCCCAAGCGCCCATCCGAGTCCGACCTGCGCATCTACACCTCGCAACCCTCCCTAGAAGTCCCAGCTGTCAGCGAGGCCGGACGACCGCCCCCCGTCAAGTTTATGTGCGTGTTGCCCGGGGATATGCCATGGCTACCCCGCGGAGGTGCTGGTCCTGGCCGGAGCTGATGCTAGACAAGGTCAACACCCGCATACCAGAGCCCGTTACGACACCACAAGCGCGCCGCTTCCTCGACGAGACGTGTGAAGGTGCGACCCACTGCATGAAGAAGCTGCGACCCTGAGCCACCTCTAACAGCACAGGAAACATTCAATGCGCGCTCCGAGTACAGCAACAGCGAAGATGACGGCAGCGCCCAACACCGCATCAACCAGTACCTAGTCAAGCAGGAGATTGGCCGCGGCTCCTTTGGCGCCGTCCATCTCGCTGTCGACCAGTATGGCCAAGAATATGTGAGGATACCAGCTCTCTCGACATCTCCACCGGAAAGAGAAGGCACCACCCGGGCGCATGCCCCCAATAAGACGATGCGGGTTCCCTCGAGGTACAGGCATTGGCTCTCGCTGACGCATCAACGCGCAGGCTGTTAAGGAATTCTCCAAATCACGACTGCGGAAACGCGCTCAGTCCAATCTCCTGCGCCGCCCGACCGCTGCGAAACGAATGCGCGCGCTCCCTGCTGGCATAGGCTTCAATTCACCGCTGCATCGGCATTCGGTTACCGAAGAGAACAATGCTTTCGAGCTGATCAAGGAAGAAATCGCCATCATGAAGAAGCTACACCACCCGAACCTGGTCACGTTGATCGAGGTGCTGGACGACCCAGAGGAGGACTCGCTGTACATGGTCATGGAGATGTGCAAGAAAGGCGTCGTCATGCAAGTTGGTCTCGAGGAGCGCGCCGACCCCTACAGCGAAGAGCAGTGTCGGTGTTGGTTCAGAGACATGATACTGGGTCTCGAGTACCGTACGTAAGGCTAGGTCATTCACGAGCCATTGCTGACACGTGCCAGTTCACGCCCAGGGTATTATCCATCGAGACATCAAGCCCGACAATTGCCTGATCACTGAAGAGGACGTGCTGAAGATTGTCGATTTCGGCGTCTCGGAAATGTTCGACAAGGAAGGCGAGATGAAGACGGCCAAGTCAGCGGGTTCGCCAGCGTTCATGCCGCCGGAGCTGTGCGTTGCCAAACATGGTCATGTCTCTGGAAGAGCCGCCGACATATGGTCCATGGGCTGCACACTATACTGCCTTCTTTTCGGCCGTATACCATTCGAAAAGCACGGTATGATCGAGCTTTACCAATCAATACGGATGGACCCATTGGAATTTGAGACTGAATGCAATCCCGAGCTGAAGGATCTTCTGGTCAGGCTCATGGACAAGGACCCCAAAAAGAGGATAACCATGGAAGAGATCAGAGTGAGTTGACTGCCCAACTTCATCGCGCAAGACTGACTTTCCAGGAACACCCATGGGTCACGCGACAAGGGACGGACCCTTTATTAGCAAAGTCGGAGAACGTCGCCATCATCATCGATCCGCCTACCGATGAGGAAGTCAATGCTGCCATCACTGGCAATATGGGTCACTTGGTAACAGTGGTAGGTGCACGTCTTCCCTATCGTATGCGAAAGCATTGGTATCAAAGTATCGTAGCCATCCTTGAGCTAACAACTGCATAGGTACGGGCAGTGAAGCGGTTCAAGCAGCTGCTCTTCAGACGGCGACCAGACCGCATAGAAAGTATACTGGGTAGTGCCTCGCGAATCGTTCAGCCGCCCATGTCCATGCGACCATCAGCACTACGCAAATCAAAATCACAAGACACACACGACCGCCGACCAGTTGAGAGCGCACTCTCCTCCGAGGGTGTACACCATCAGATCAAAATCGACGAAAAGGGCCAGAGACTCCCCCATAACATGGACGACATGGCATACACCAAACCTGGTCTCCGACCTGAGGTAGCAGGGAAGCGTTCAGCCAGCAAGGGATCTACTTCTAACAGTCCGACGACGCCGACGGCTCCAGGTCTCAGTGAAGCCAAGATCATCCACGAGAACATGTCAATCCGGCCAGCGCCCATACATTCCATCTCAACTCCCGGTGGCCTTGCCCCCTCGTCATCGGCGCCAACCACACCTCTCGGCAAAGGCCACGCGCACAACCCACTAGAAGACACACTCTTCCTCAACATTGGCACAGGCGAAGACTTCCTCCCCGAACCCGAAGACGGCTGCATCGTCTCCGAATCCCCCTCCAACGTCGACATCAACGTCTACGAGACCGCATACGAAGAAGAAGTCCAACGCATCATCGCCCAACGCCGCGAACAATTCGCCGCTGCCGCCTCTGCCGCCGCCCGCCGCCCTACCTTGTACCTAACGCGCCGCGTCGAAAACGTCAAATCTATCCGCGACAGCGACGCCATCTTCGACGAAGGCCAAGACTTGCGTCAGAATATCAAAGTCAGCCTCAAGTCTTTCGTTACTAAGACTAAAGAAGACATTGAAGCAAGAGGTGAACTGCAGAAGATCCAAGACGGCAAAGAAGGCAAGCTTAGTAGGACTATGCGCAATGTACGCGAGGCTAAGCGTCTTGTCGAGGAAGCGAGGGAGCGCGTTAAGACTGAAGAGCGGGATCGTGAGAGGGAGAGGAGTAGGAGTGCAACGCCGGTACTACGGACTAATAGTTCGGCTAGTGTGCTTAGCCGGAGTGGGACGCCTGTGGGGAGTTGAGCAAGATATTTCAGTGTGAGTGTGAGGGAGAGAGATGACGAGTGTACTTGTGCGGGATGTGCGTGTTTCAATGGGCGTTTGGATGTATACATAAAGGGTTCTCTATTGTTTTTCTCCTTGAGGGGATGTGGGCCTGGTGCTCCGAGATTATTCTTACTGGTATTTGAGGGAATGGATTTGTTGAGTTGAGGATGTGAAGTGAGGATGGTGATGTCGTGATGAGGCTTGCGTTCATCGTCGCCTTGGTCAGTATTTGGTGGGAGGGTTTAGGCATTGGTTGTGTTGTCGCCGGAATTGTGACTTGTGAGTTGCTCGTCGTCAATGGCAGAGACGACCCAGAGACGACGAGCCAACGACACCTCCCGCATTCCATATGACTCATACGCGAGGAGATACTCTACGAAAGAGAGAAGTATTGCATCTCCAAGAACCTCGTCGTCAATGGTCTTCCGGAAGCTAGACTGTAGAGTCAGCATGTTGGTGATTGATTCTTGATGTCGTTGATGGATCGTTCATAGCAACGGTGACGTCGGTTGTCGTTGATCAATCGTTGCTTGCCGTAGACAGATCGTTATTTTCCTTGATTGATCGTGATCGCGTACAATTCTGATGTCGTTGGCGTCGTTGCTGGATCGTTACTTTCCTTGATTAATCGTGGATAGCGTTGGCGACGGTAACATCTCGAGCAGAGTCTAGGGGCTTGCCATGATATCTGCGCGTCCTTAGGTCTGTAAGCTTTTAGCTTTGTTACTCCGGTCCGCTAACGATAGGGGGGTTCATGTCACTCTTAGACTCGGTGCTAATCCAGAACTCGCAGATACATTCAACGTCATCACGTATGGGACCAGGTATCCTGAAACAACCAGAGTAAAACAATCTAAATGTAACTGAATCATTGCCAGAAAACTGCAAACACAAGAACTGTCACTTTCATGTCTGCCTTGCGACGTGCAGGGCGTGACCTGGCTAGCCGGGAGATGTCCCTGAATCTAGCCGTTCTGGGATTAGTGATGAAGTACACAGCCTCACATCGTGCTGGGGAACCCAATCCTTCCCACGACCGTCCTGCGCTCCTCGAGTCGATCGCACGACAGCACACGTTTTTGGTGTTCACCTCTACGCTATCGATCTTCGGAATTCCCCAGTGAGGTCTACAAAACACTGAAGTTTATAGCGGAATAATGTTCTGCAGGATGAAAGCGACGAGGAGTTCTCTCCGTGCGTGCGCGCAGGTGTTGGAATTTCCCGGGTGAACTACCTGTAGCTTGGGCACATGCATCCATGCAGCGTAGCAGCCAAGCGACGACGAACGAAGCTTAGCCCGGGGTAATTCCGCTCAGGCATCCCGCGACGCGTAGGTCTCGCCGAACATCTTTTGTTCGACGCTTCTCCATTTCCTCGAGACGAATGCGAACTGCGGACCTGTGGGCTGCCTAACTACCTCCCTGGCCTCCCTTCGCCACCACCGTCCTCGCTTCTTCGACACCGAGTTGCGCATACGAATGCACTAACCGCGATCTCGCGTCGCCTTTGCTGGCATTGATACGAGATGGCGGCGTTGAAATACGATGATAAGAAGGCTTTGGCTGCGGAAGAGAAGGACATTAAAGTTGCGTGTACATCTGTCAACTCGACGCAAGAATCGTTTTCGGAAGGAAAGACTCCTATACAGCATGAACGCGTCAAGACCTGGGGTAATGACAGTGTACACGAGGCAACATGCACACCGCGAGGTTGGCCGTCGAAACCGCGATGGAAAGTACGCTGGACCTGGATGTTGCACGACGCCTGTTTGACTATCTGGCATGCCACCAAATGGACCGCGCGGACGATCAAGAATGCACCGCTATGGAAACACTTCCGGTGGTCGAAGAAGCAGTTCTACGCCTCTCTCCTCTTGCTCAGCTGGGTCATCCTGCCAGTATTTGCAGCGGGTACGGTGACACCGATAAGTCACATTTTCGCAGACAAGACTTTGTCATGCGGAAACACCATCGGCGGAGACCCTCAGAATGCAACGGTGACGGGAATAGAGAAACTCTTTACGCTGGACGCTACGTGGGGCCAATTCACCTTCTCACAGGCCAAGACGATAGACATTCTCTGGGACTTGCTTATCGGGAAAGGCGCACAGGCATTGGCGTGGTGGGCCGCGTACAATGTGTTCTGCGACGCGTTACTACGCGCGATCGAACGACATCCGGCGAGCTTTAGCATTTTTCAGAGGATTGCTATGGAAGGGCCCGGATTGCACTGTCTATGGGCGTTGACGAAAGAGCTATGGACCGCGAAGAGTATACGGACGCGATTTTTGTTCTTCTACATGTTTTGGTCGACGGGTTACGTGCTTCTTGTACCCATTGTCCTCGGCGCCATGACAGGTTACGACAGCACTTCTATCGCATGGCTCGATATCGACGGGTCGAACAACATCATCCCCGCTTCCCAATTATCAACTACGTGGGTTATCCTGGGCACCAAGAACGAGACGTGGAAGCAACCAGGTTGTGCGGACTACGAATTGCAGAGTGATTATGGCTACATTACGGATAAGAGACGGCAAAGTTGTACGTCGGCGTCCTCCACCTTGCCCCTCACATACCCACACCCATCATCCAACCGCTGCTCCGAGAATCTTTCGACATACTAACATCAACAAAATAGGTGACTGCAAATTCGCCAACGGCACCACTGTAACCGCCGCCGAACAAAGAGACCTCTGGCAACACACCTCGTTTAATCAATACGACGATCTTTTGTTCAATTGCACCTTCGACTTCCCCAACAACACACAGACCTGGACGGAACAAAAGGTCTACAATCAAGACTCGATCACTCATCTCTGCAACACCAGCGTCTCCGTCCCTGTCGGTGGCAAAACGTACAACGCCGACGACCTAGTCGGAGACTACGGGTACTGCTACAATGGAATTGGGTATCAGTACTACTCGCTCATCGGGAAAAGCCGCTGTCTCCCCGATACTGCCAACCCGACCTACCAATGGGGTTTCTCGACACTCATGGCTGGTTTGTTCATGTTTGTAACGAGTGCCTGGGTTTTGAGTATGTACGTGCTGTGGCAGGACGCGCAGTTCAATTCTACGCTTGTTAAGGAGGGATACAGACTTACGCCGTTGCGCGCGGCGTTTGCGATGGCGGTCGCGGCGAGGAGGCGCACGGGGTTGAGTGGGAAAGATCTTATCAGCGCGAAGAATAGGGCGCTGGGGAGGCAGTTGTATGGCAAGAAAGGGACGAGAGGCACGGTTGTGGAACATGGACTCTTTTTGCAGGACCTCGAAGATACGGATACGGATGGTGATGGCGGCGGCAAGTCGCCCATGTCACCAACACCACTGTTATCCACGCCAACTCCTACGTTTGCGACGGCGGGCAAGGAGAAAGCGTGGATGACTTCTCCGACTGAAGACGTGGATATGGAGATTAGGCCGCTGGCAAGGTCCGACACTGATCTTTCGGTTCACGTACTCAGCGACGAGGAATTGCGCAAGAGGTACCTGAGAGGTGTGGAGGAGGCGAGGCTGAGTCGCAAGCCGCTTAGTCGGGAAGCGACGCTTGTCGGGCAGGGAATGTGGGAACGAAACCGCAGTGACGAGAGGCGGGATCGAGACGATGAACCGAGTCCTTCAGACGACGGATATCCAAAAGAGAAAGAAGACAAGGCTGCGGACACATCGAATGATACAAGAGAAGGGAAGAGCGGGAAGGTTGGACGTTGGAGGAATCGGCTGAAGAAGGTCGGACGACCTGGTTGAGTGGGAACATGTAGAGATGATACGAAGTAATGCATAATATGAACAACACATGTAAAGATCAGCAAGCCTGTTTTAGTGCGCCAGGAAGCTCTCATGACGCGTCTTAGCGACATTATAAGCATGCAATTCGTTTGCTGCACTTGACCCTGCCATTTGACGGAACATCTCTTTTTTCGCACACACTCAGAACATAGTCCTCCGCCAATTGTCCTTTTTGGAGCACTCGGTCTCTGCTCTCATTATCAATTTCATAACTTGGTTTGGTAATAACTCCAGAGCTAGAAGGTTGAGGAAAGGAGGAAGCATTGCAGAAAGAAGGCTTTTATACCCCTCACACCTCGCCGTGAGCACCGCAGTCATACCGCCCTAAGGACGATGTTTCTGGTCGTCTGCTTCTCATAGCAATTTTGCTTCTTCGTTTTGGTATCATGTGTAGAATTTTCATTCTTTTGAACAATGAAAAGAACATTTCATGTAGGAACCTGGTCTTTGGTAGGCCAAGTCGTAGCGAAGCTTCCCATCAATACCTCGTGTTTTTCCTTTTGGACGTCTCCGCTTCTCATATGTCATCTCGGCGCTCTTTTTGAGAACCCTTCAGAGTTTTGGTAGTAAAAAAGCAGCGAGGAGGAAGAGAGAAAACATGTTCTGATAGGCCATGGCTTTTAGAAGTTGGAGCAAGTCAGACATGGACGGGGTTAGTAACAGATTCTTGGTCGTTTGCTCCTCATGTTCAGGTCTAAGATGTGTTTTTGGTATTTGGGGAAAAGTAAAGGATGGATAGAGGAAGAATGAGGGAGGTCAGAAGAAGGGCGCTTTATATGTTCTGTCCGTCACTACCACGTGACTCTGTCGACACACATATCCGAGTTTGAATGTGTGTGCCCGCGACGCGCACGCGAACATTAAGACGTTCTTCGAGTACTTTTGACAGTCTGTCACATATACTGTTTTGATGCTTCAGACGTATACATAATCGACTTGCAGACGAGAAGAGCGCAACACATGTCGTGGTTTGCGGCCTTTTGCGTCCAGGCGCGCAAACGTCAGAACATGGGGTGTAGCAGACTGGCTTTCTGGTCCGAACAAACTCAGAACATAGGAAGAACTCGGTATTGTTTTTGAGAAGAGATATCGGAAAAGGTTGGTGAGAAGAGGGAGAAGAGTCAGAGAAGAAGGTTGATTATATGTATCGTGCTTCGGGCAGGAAGCAAGGACATACCATGTTTGTCATGGTTGTTTTGGAACTCGATCTTCTCAACGCTTCTTTGAAACCCCCTTTTGGTATTTAAGAGGGTATTGCTGATCAAGGATGGAGTAGAAGCAGAGGAAGGGGTATTTTTATGCCTCGTAGCCCGTTCCGAGGAGCCACATGGCAAATGAAGAACATGGCTTTTTGAGCTCTCAACCTCTCATCTGACCAAACTATTCCATTTTTTGCATTGAGTTTAAATGAAGATGTATAAGAGAAGAGGAGAAGAGCATCTAGGAAACAGAATGTTTTATAGCCCAGCGCGACAAGTGGTAGTAAGAGTGAGTCTTCTGATCGTCTGCTTCTCATGAACTGGTGGCCGAGCTTTTTTGGTGAATATCTCGGGTACAGAGTGTAGGAAAGCAGAGGAAAGAAGAGCATATGCAGGTGTTGATGCGATTTTGTAGCTGGGCGCGGCGGAGAGCAGACATTGCTCTAGCTCTTGGGAGTTTTGATCTTTCACTTCTCATCAGTTTGTCTTTACATGCTTTCGGTCTTTTGCACGCAGTAATGGATGATGAAGAAGGTGTAGGAGGAATAGTAAGATAGCGTTATCCTAATATAGGTCGGGAGCAGTCGAAGCAGGTCAGACATTGAGCCGCTCATTCTCAGTTTTGGACCTCGCAAATACTCATAGACTCTTGGTTTATACGTTTTGGTTCTTTGAATCGACGCAGAGGTGGATTGAGATGATGAAGTGAGGGAGAGAAATGTTGGTCTTATATACGTCTCTAGCATAGCTCGAAGAAGGCAGGACGCACATGTCCCGTTTGAGGTATTGATTTAGGCTCTCCACTTTTCATTTCGCGCAAGTATGGCGGATACAATCTCTTCCCCACACAACTGTACTACGATCATTTGGATAGCTGCAAGTTCAAAGACGGACAGACACATCAAATTGAACCAGTGGTGATTATGCACATCGTTTTCCTCTTCCCCATTTTTCGTCAAATTCTCCGGGAATATGCCGACGCCAAATCGGTTTTTGAAAAGGACGCGTCAGCCGCAGACATATCTTCATGTGTTGTAGTTTTTGAAGGAAAGAAGAGGTCGTATGCCTAGGATGCAGGAACGTATCTCGTGAATGATGAACCTTGTATATGTTCACAGTACGGTAGGCTGACGGCGACGTCTCCACAAGCATGAACAAACTTGACTGGCTTTAGGGAAAAGGCGAAGAAGCCGACATCGTAATGTGCACTCTTGATTTGTTGATTTGGAGAAAGAGTGTAGATTTTGGAGTGTAGCAGGGAGAGTTTTGTCTTTAGACTTGGATCTTAGACACGCTTTCATGGGAGTGTCTCGATGTTACTTGTTGTTCCAGCGACCAAAGACATGGCCGTGACACACGCGATTTTCGAGAGCCAGGCCAAAGACATGCTACGACTTCCGCATGATTTCGAAAGAGAGAAGGAGACGCAGGCATTACATAGTGACGCTGGACATTTTTTTTGGGGGGGGGGGAAGAAGCAAAAGCTTGTGAGGTGTAAAAGAGAAGAATGGTGAGGTGTGAACGGCGTCTTTATACACACACACTTCCTGTAGTCGGGTGCAGCAAAGAAGGTCATCAATGTAATCAAGCCCCATTTTTCGTCGCTCTCGGCAACGTAATGACACGATTTCTCGTCCATGTATTCATAGCCATGATTGTCCGCTGTTCCCGAAAAAGGGGGAGAATTTGCAACTGTAGATCTGGAGTGCCCATAGCAACTGATGCATTTGATTTTAGTCTTTTTTTCTTCCAGCCATGGCATAGTAGCGATTACGTTTCGAGAGAAAAAGGAGGCGCCCAGGACATGAACAGATCCCATTTATCTTTTTGATTTCGGTCCAGGATGTCGATGTAGTAGGAGAAAGACTCAAGAAGAGCGGTATATATACCTAGCCAGCGCCCCAAAATCATCATATGAGCGCTTGTCGTTTTTGTTGGGTCATATGAGCTTGCTGCAGGCTTTCTTTTTAGAAGACCGTTGTAAACAACCCATCATCTTGACGGCCACCGAGTTTGGAAGACAGCGGCGGCTCATGAGTATGTCATCGTGCTTCTTTGAGTACGAACCTTAATGAGGACTTGTTCAAAGACGTCAAAGGCAGAAGCATGAGTTCAAGCTCACGACATTCGGAGTAGAGCTTTGCACATAGTTGGGGGCAGCGGACTTTTTCAGGTGATAGATCGATCATGCATCACGCCTCTCCGATTTGGAACCGAAAAGCGCAGGAGAGACAGCCATGGGGGTTACCCTAGTCGATTTTGATATTTCAGAAGTAGAATTGTGTGATGAGAGAAAGAAAGGAGCAGGAGAAACGGAGGCTTTTATACCCACCATTCCTTGTTACACAAGAGCACGGACCATGCACAAGGAGAGCTCGTCTCAAGCCAAAAGTCCACAAGCCCCAGTCTCTACCCCAAACCGGGCTGCGTTTCTGTGACATGGACTAGAGGCTCGACAGCTACATCTCCTCGTGCTCAGCATCTTCTTCTTGGCATCGCCGCTCTAATAGCGTCTTTCAACCACCCCGGCAACTCCTCCGCGTCCGACTTAGCCCCGCTTGCTCTATTCTCGAACACCTTCCCCAGCCACATACCACGCTTCAACATATTCTCCTGCTCTTCATGCTCCTCACCATCCAAACCAACCCTCCCCTTCTCAACAACATCCTCAAGCCAGGCCCTAAACCTCGGATAAACATACATAGCGGCCACCCCTCCACTAGCCCACGTAATACACGCCCACTCCATCTGCTCCCACTCCATCTGCTCCCACTCCTCTTCGCTACCCGCGAAATCCTCGATCGCGGCCCTTACACTGTTCTTTTCGCGTTCACCCAGTGTCTCATCGTTCAGCATCTTCTTCACCGCCTGCTTTATCGGCACGATAGTAGAAGGCGGGAGAAGCCACGTATTATCAATTTCTTGCGTACCGATCTCCAACGCGCGGCCGATGAGGAAATGCTCTGTCACTTCGTCGCAGGCATAGGCCTTCTTAGTTGGAGGGGGTGCAAAAGGCCATTTATCCCATCGAGTGGGCAGATCGAGCGTGAGATCAGTGAAGTAGTCTTCTTCTGCGGGGTCGAGCCAGCGCAGTTTGTCGACGGGGTGCAGAGGCGTTTGGAGGTCGCCTAGTGGGTGGCCCCATGGAGAACCGAAACCGTTGCTGAGGCGGAGGAAGGTTTTATAGTCGGCTGGCAACGTGGTGTTAAGACGCGCTTCGGCTTCTTCAATCTGCGAGTCGGTGGCTGGGGAGTGAAAGAGCAAGGTTTCGGGGGGCTCGGGATTGACTTCTCTGGCCTCGGCGTTGTATCTTGTGTTGTATTCTACCGCTTCCAAGAGTTCCTGCATGGAAGTATTTGCTCTTGGTCTAGCTCGACCATTTGTGAGTCGCTCGATCAAAGCGTTCTCGAAGTCCTTTGCGAAGGCTGCGAGCGCTGCTTCATTGATGTTGAGTTGTTGTCTCAGCGCTCCGCTTTTGTACAACTTCCATGCCTGCCTGGACTCCGTCGCCGGCTGAGTCTCGTACGAACGTTCCCCAAAGCTATGCGCTAGCCAACGTAGCAACTCATGGGATGTCGGGGTGCCCAACTTGCGTAGTGTTTCGCCCATGCCGGGCTGTTCATGGTGTGCTTCAGCCGACAAGACCAGGTTCAGTATACGCACCAGCCCGCTTCTCACGTCTCGGATCGTAGGTGCCGGACGTGAAATCTCAAAGCTATGGATGACATCTATCGCACCATCAAGCAGCTGAGAAGTGGTGGCTGAGCGATCGAGCTCGTGGGCATGGAATGCTTCTGCAAGACCTGGCCCTGGCATCTCAGTCGGGTAATACCATTTCGACGCAAACTCTTTCGCGATAGCTTGCAGCTCCTCTTCTATATCGTCGGGCGTTATCGTTTCGTCGTTCCCCGTTCGAGCATCGTCGCTGCTGATCTTGGCTCGTCTCTCCCTCACAGCCTGACGCACCTTATCTTCTTCTCCATCAGGCCATGGTGCACCATCTTCCTTCGCACGCAGATCCCAGAGGAACCAAAGGGGCCGAAGACTTCCGAGACGATCGTGGTAGAAGTCATAGTTGTTGAGTTCGCCAATCAGGCGCGCTGCTACATCTGTGTAGCCTAGGAGAGCCAGCTCTGGGATGAAGCGCGACGTGTACCCATAGAGACTACTATTGTCGCAACGCGATATAAAATTTTTGAGAGCAGTGTTCGATGAGGAAGACATGATAGTGTGGCGAGAATGGTTCCGACGCGTCTAGGTAGTTGCGCTGCGCGCGGAGGCGGGACTGACGTCATGGGGAGGATTAGGCAACCAACAACATCACGATGAAGGGGAACACATGAAAGGAACGGATCTGCTTTCGATTGAAGTTCTATTGGTTTTTCTATATGTGCAAGGAGAGTTCAACAAGGTTTGATCATGCGCGCGACGATACGTTTAACCATGCCCAAAACGGCAGAGCCCCCAGACCCAAATTCAGACCGCAAGTAGAAGCTCAGTCCTATAACCCTCCTCTAGTACGATACTTTATCGAACTCAAGATGATCTCTACCACTAACAAGGATAGAACCGATCGCGGTGGAATATGGCGAAGTCGAAAGCCAGCTGCTGTCGCGGTAGGTGACGCCAGTGTCTCAAAGAGAGTGACTAAGTACCTAAGTAAGGGTTAGACAGTAGAAATGACAGTAGAAACGACTTGGGGTGCGAAAAGTAGTAAGTGTGAATAGTATATATGGCGTTGTAAATGTCTAGCGACAAAAGAAACAGGAAAAATTGACGATAGAAATGAGTTGAGACACAAGGAAAGAAACAGTTGACAGTGGAAATGACTGAAAAAGCAAAAGAAACGCAGGAGAAACCTTACCATAGTAGTTAGAAGCGTCGCGTGGAGGCAGTGATGGTGGTGGTAGTGGTGGTCGTTGTGGTGGAATCTATCTGCGAACCAGTGGGGAGTAGAAGCGTTGGATTGCGGAGGTGGAGCGATATTGATATACGTGCGCTCGGCCTCCGGATCAACTCACGGCAGAGGGTTAAGCGAGACAGAAGAATAGGCGGCAGTCCTATTGTTGGGTCTGGGCTGGAGTGAGAGTGAAGACGGAGCGCGCGCGCTGAAGAGCTGAGCACGGGCCAGAAAGCCGCCGGAGGGGGAGGAGAACTCGAACTGGGGCGCTCGACGGGAGGGCCAGACGTCCGGCTTGTCAGTGAGTAGACGAGTTAGTCCAAGCTGATAATGGACCCCATCACTTGGTGTATGGTGACAGCCTTGTAGTTACCAATTGTGATTACATATCCACGGGTATCATTAATTACAACCGCTCAACAAAACAAATGAAAGAACCCTTCACATCGACCTCTCTCGTACCCTCGCCCCTTGCTTTAAGGGCGTCTCATCCCCAAACACACTCGGCGCCGGCGCGTCATTACTACTCCTCGAGCTGCCTTCTATGAAATCTTTCCTGTCAATATAATCTTTCCTGTCCTCATGTGTAATACGTAGATCCGTCGTACACTGGATACCGCCCAGCTCCAAACTCTCATCGCTATCAATCTTGCTCAGTCCCGCGCTGCGCATGTTCGTCGTGTTGCGTTTCGATCGGTTGGTGAGCTGAACCGAGTGCGGTTGGTGCGAGCGTGCGTTTGAGCGGGAGTGCGAGTCCGGGCCGGAGGAGCTGTGGAATTCTTCGGGGTTCATGTCGTTTTGGGGCTTGCCTTGCGCGAGGCGGACGACGAGGGAGGCCATGGACATTTCGATGTTGAGCTTGACCATGTAGACGACGGGGTGGAATTGCACGTATACGACTTGGTTCTGGAGGAACATGAGACCGATGAGGAGGGCGTCCATGGCGATGGAGACAACCATTAGCTTGCCGTTAAAGCCTACCAGTGGCGCGTATTTGGTGAGACCGTGTTGTTCGACGAGGCGGATCTTGACGGTTCGCAGGAAGTACCAGTTCAGGCCTGCGTCGACGATTAGGATGAGTACCTTGCTGACCTTGTCCCAGACGTTGTTGATCTTGACGAAGGTTTCGCTGATTGGTGGGACGGTGTGCGATGGGATCCAAATACAGAAGACGGCGATGTTGATGCTGGTGATCAAGACTACTGTTCCCCATTTGAGGTTGCGGATGGTACTTCGGTGTTCTGCGATGAGGGCAATGCGGTTGATGATGATTTGCATGAGCAGTTGGATCTCCCATACCCAGAAGAAGAGGATGAAGAATAGAACGGGGACACTGTAGTCTTTGTCAGCGTCGACTCTTTGTCGTGTACTGCAGTGCCAGGGAACTCACGTCGGCCCGAGTACATCGTTCAAGAACAGCCATCCGATGATACCGATGATGACATTGACCAGAATCTCACCCCATATCATGTAAATGTAGGCTGATCGGAGGGGGCTGTGATTTCGCCGTGTCTGCTTGACGGCCTCCCATACTGTCAAGAACCCGAACCCAATCGTGAAGCCGGCAGCCAGAGCAGCAAGCTGGAAGTCCTGGACGGTAGCCGACATCGTGTGGTGTAAGTAACGCCGAAGTTGGGGAAGGAGAAGTCGGTCAGAAAGATCCTAGAGTAGAAGGGCTCAGGGTCTCCAAAACACCCATATATGCCACTGATCCCGGAAAGGAGGCACGCCCGCTCCAGAAAGCACGTTGCAAACTACCGATAAGTTCATCATGGGTAACTGACTAGCAACAGGATGGTATTAGTGGACGGGACGGCATGCACCGTGGAGCTGTCAACTTAGCAAGCGGCTTGGGCTGTCCTGCCATGCTCTAGCTGCCAATCACCACATGGAGATGCTACCCGCTAGTAATTCCAAGTGTTCCGAAGGACCCTCGCTTGCGTTTGCGAGTAGACGTGCATTACGGAGTGGATCGGCTCCCTAGCTTGGTATCAACCAGCGGGACACTGCGCACTCTAGCCTCCGACGTTCAGAGCGCCACATGTAAGTTAGATCTATCTCCTACCCGAAAGTAGGTGTCATCTTAAACCTTAAATTACACGGCTGACGTGTATCGTGGAACGTAACAGGAGTATCGGCTTTTGTTCGTCTTGAAGATGATTACTATTCTCATCGGGTAGTGGTCGGTCGCCGACTTCATGACATGTAAGTGATGATAAACATAGATGTCGCGATAATACCTCCGAGAGCTAGGATACTCAAGATTTTCCCAAGGTTGCCTTCCTTCGTGGGGCCGCGGATCTTCAACGCTCATGGAACTCGTCAACACGAATGCATGAATGGGCGACGTCCGACTCCACACCAAGACGCAGAATCTGCACCGCCACTTCGTCAGTCGACCTCTCAGACGGATGAACAGCGCCCTTACACTCCCACTTCCTTGCAATCATTGCAGAAAGCTGGGCGCTGCAGCTCAAGGCCTGTAGTTGATGTTGACCGGTGGTTGAGACGGAGTTGGTACGCCTACAATGCTGATACTCGCATGAGACCATATCGATACATGGGGTCGACTCTGCTGGTGTATTCGGGGCACGATCGTAGCTTCCGTCGCTTCCCCTGATTACATGTGCGAGTATGACCGAGGAAGACCCGCAATTATACAAGACGACGGTTGCAGTCGATCCAGTCCAAGTTGATGCTGAAGTGTTGGTGGCCGACATTGACCGAATGGCAATGTGCAGAGTCATGGAACATCGTATGAGGATTTCGGCTCAGCTGACCATAATCTGCGACCCAAGTCTTACGAAAAGACATCTGCATTCTGCAGGTCGCAAAAGAAAACCTATGTGGCGTAGTCTTTTGAGATCCAATCTTCTGGAATTCTCGCTTTCCAATCGGTGCTTCTCCGGTTTCCGGCAATCTGGCCAAACGCGTCCCTGCAACACGGCTCACGGTCCGTGCGCGAAGTTTGTCGCTACCCGCAGAGAGCGGGCTTCGAGAGGCCCGGTCCAGATCTAGAGGATGAGCCGCATCTTAGATGGACCGAGGATGCGCTCGTATTGCGCAATTGATCTCATCGCGTCCACCTGTACTTGGGGTCCGTCGGAAGATGTGTCAAGGCCAAGGATCGCCACCAAGTCTGTTGATGGAGACAGGCATCAGCTAGTATTGGCAAAGTCGGCGAGCTGGTACCTCGAGCCTGGCGTGGCGGATCAGCGGGCAGTCGAACTAGGCACGGGACAGTGGTGTATAGCCTGAGAACGGCAGATTGCATATAGAGCGAAAGAGGAAGTACATACAGTATAAGGTTTATTTGACACTCAGATGCCGTGTTCGTTCTGCGCCCGTCGCACCTAGTTCACGCCGTCGTCTATCGCTTCCTCGCTCCCGTTGCCGTTCACAGTACACTGGTAAACTTGCGATCAGTCCTGCGCATCGATGCCGAACTCCTCTTGAACTTCGACTATCCGTACGCCCCGCTGATCCGCAATAAGGCCCATCAACCCCTGACCCACATCTTTCAGCTCGTTGTATTCGTGTAGTAATTTGATGTGCTCTTTCACGATTTTGTTTGCGGCTGCCATGACATCGGTCTCAGTAGGTTCATCGCTAGCATCGCTTGATTCGGCATCTGAAAGAGCGTTCTCTTCCATCAGCACTTGGATCGCTGGAAGGGCACTGAGAGAGGCCAAGAGTGCAGCTTTTTGAGCTCTCAGATTGTCAAGAGTGACTTCCTGTGGTGTTCTCGATGGAGGCATTGGGATGGGCGATGACAAGCGTTGGGCGTCAGCGTGTGGTTGGGCATGCGTAGATAGTCGAGCAATTGGTGAACTAGCACCAAGACTTGAGCCTGCGCTCTCTTTCGGCAATGCCACCTCTTCTGCGGATGGTTGTTGGTCCGCGGATGTACTTCGGGCAGTTTGTTCCTGGCCGATCTCAGAGCTAGATCCATTTTCGATCATGGCAGCTTCGCTAGTGTTGATGTACATTCGCGCATCAGGAGGCGTATATTCAGTGTCTTGAGCCCTATGGAGCGTGGAGCTGGTGTAGTCGTCCGGCATGGTCGCAGCAGGGCCTGCGTCGCCTGACGAGCCTAATGCAATCCTTGTCGTATTCGGCTGCATGCTGGTAGCTGTTGAGGTCGGCCGAGAATGGTCCTATCGTATGTGAGCGCGTGAACTTACAAAGTATTGATCTAGGACAGACTACGTTGACGCTCATGTGTCCATCTACCGGATTATGCTTTACAGCTCGATCCGAATCATCTTTCGACTCACGGGGCAGACTGGAGCGCATGCCAGTACTTTGCGATTGACACGTTGACACGTTTGGGAACTCAGAATCGACGCTGAACTCTGATGGAGCGAGAGCAGCAGCACCTGGTACCTTCAACTGCGCATCCGCCATTGTGGATTGAATAGCCTCAGCTACTTCCTGTTCAGCAGAAGATGGACTGGCATGGCTTACAGGTGGCTGCTGTTCGTCACCGCGGGCTGAGGGGTCAGATTCGACATCCTTGGCAACTGGATCCCCGTTTTCAGTTGGAACGACCATCACTTGAGGCCCATTTGACATGTCTCTGGTCGTGGATACTGGCTTTTGTGGATGTGTTTGTGTGTGGAGTCTCCGGCCGTGGCTGCCACCTTCGACAGTCGCTCCTTCCTCGTTTTGCGCTGCAGTGGTCTCATTGGGTATCATGTTAGTCTGATCAATTCTCGACGCGTCGACATCGACTGGAGAATTGGCGGAATCGGCGCCCAAGACTCCAGTTGTGCTGGCATCGCGTTCGGCGAATGCTTGTTGGAGGCCATCTGCCTCGCGCGACGCGTCTTCTCGCTCTTGGTACGGAACATTGGACACTGCGCAATGCTTGTCGCCCGCTTCATCCGGAACAACACCAGGTGACGACGTCATCGGATCATCATCCGAGTCCGCGATTTCGGTGACGCCCTTCTCGAAAGTCATGTCGTGAATGGCGAAGCTGGAGCTGCAGGCCGACGATGGTGTCGGAGATGATGGTGTTGATCGCCCGATCGGAGTGTGGCGGAAGCCAATGACGGTGGCGCCTTTTGTTCACGTAAGCACGAGATTGCGACAACGCCTGCAAGGGAAACAACGAACACACTCGCCTCCTCATTCGGTCCCACCTTAGCACGCGTCTGATGCTGTTGTGAAACTCTCAACGCTGCAGATTCCACGATAATCACCTGCTCGTGGCGCCAGCTGCAGCGACCCGAATCTTATTCAGAAATACCGACGGCGAAATGGGCCTCCCTACAAGAGCGGCCCTTGCGGCGCTGCTCTACACCGCAGCAGTCACAGCTCACGACCACGATATGGATGCGATCCCAGATGGTGATGCCATATCACCTGACCCAATAGTGGGTTGACACTTCGACCACCCTGGTTGAGGCAGCAAGACTGATGGTCGATGTAGGACTCAATACTATGGACGCACATCTTGATCCAAACGGTGGCATGGGGCATCATCTTCCCCACGGGTATGGTATTAGGAGTAAGCTATTTCATATTGAGACTGAAGAGCATGAGCTGACAGCAAGGCTAGATAATACGATCGAAATGGCACGTCCCGGTACAATCCCTCGGAACCGTCCTCGCAATCATCGGATACTTCCTCGGCCATAGACACAAGGGCAGGCAGTTCACCGACAACATCCACAGCCAGTTTGTCCCTGTCATCATGCTCATGTTGGTATCCCAAGTCGCCATGGGCATCTACCTGAAGCTGCACCTGGAGAAGGGCATCAATGGGAAGATACGGCGCGTGGTAGTGAAGGCGCACGGTGTTATTGGAAAGGCTATGCCAGTGGTCACCTGGGTGCAGTTCCTCTTTGGAGGAATCACTGCACTCGGCTTCTGCAGAGCGGACCACACCGGACAATGTCTGGCGCACTTCATTATGGGCAGCGCCTTCATCGCATACGGCATTATTCTCCTGATTCTACTTCTGGTAGGACAGATGTGGCTGCGGAGGACCGGAAGGAGCCAGGAGTTCTTCGACTCGCTCGTCATCGCCGCCTGGGGTTGCGTCAACACGTTCACCGAACACCGCTGGGGAGGACCGTGGGTACACAACGACCTTCAGCACACATCTATGGGCATCGTATGGTGGGCTGCCGGACTGGTCGGTGTCTGGCTCAGTCGCAAGCGCAATGGTCAACCGAAGCGCAACCTTATTCCTGGTATCATCATCTTGATGACCGGATGGGCCATGTCTGCGCACCCGCAACATCTGCCAATCTCGACCATGATCCACACCATCTTCGGCTACACCCTCATGGCCGCAGGTGCCGCACGCATCATCGAGATCTCATTTGTGCTCAAGGACCGCGCTTCTGTCGCAACCGATGGCTCGGACCCGAACAGCTTCCAGTATCTGACGCCGTTTCTGCTCATGGCTGGTGGATTCATGTTCATGGGCGCCACCGAAGAGCAGATGAAGCTGCTATCCGACGCGAACGTCACGCACGTTTCTTACGTGCTGATCCTCTACAGCATCGCTTTCTTGCTGTTCCTTTGTAAGCCTTCGCAAGATCTCCGCGTGCTATCTCAAGCTAACTCATGTTTAGTCGTCAACATGCTCATCCACCTCTACGCCGTATACACCTGGGAACAAGACGACAAGGCCGATGCCGAAGCGCCCCTCACGAACGGTCACGCGAACGGACACGTCAACGGATACACTAGGGTCGATCGTAGAGTGAGAGACGCTGAGGAGTTTGAACTGGAGGGTCTCGACTCAGATGACGACGATGAGGATTCACCGCGTCTGGATAAGGAGCATAGAACTCTGGCTGCGCAGCATTGAGCCTCTTTTCTTTCTCGTTAACATAGGCACATAGGGCATAGTGGAATACATACGCATATTATTTTCATTGGTCGATGTTAGTCCATGCTGTACATCGGCGCGGGATAACACACCATACAACAAGGTGGTTGCACATGCGTCTTGCCTGATGAGTGGATAGTCATTATGAATGGTTGAGCAACTCACAGCCTGGCCAATGTCAATCCACGCAATACGCCGGCGCGGGATGAGCAAATCATACGACAATGTGGCTGCATATGTTTCCTGCACCGGTGAGTATAAGATCATTCTGACTGGTTACCCATCGCCAGCCTGGCCTGCATGCGCTGCGCCTGAACATCAGCCTTCCCATCTGCCCCGCTCTTCTCACATGTTTCCCTTTATCTCTCTCCTCACACTGAACCACAGCCAGCGCGTCGAGGTCTGCTATGGCAGACCCATTTTCCATCACCGGCAGCGCCGTCGGTGTCATTTCTCTCGCCATCCAGGTTTGCAAGGGCCTGGAATGGTACCTCAGTGGCGTCAAAGAAGCGAAGAACAAGGCTGAACAGATTACGGCGGAAACTGAACAACTTGCAAACCTTCTCGAATTGCTCGAATCTACCATTAGCAAAGTGGATCAGTCCAACTCAGTGTCGGCGACTCGTACCGGCATCGTGTCGTGTGCGCATGCCATTGCCACTATTCGCAAGAAACTCAAACCGGATGACGGAGCAGTAAACGGCGGAATGAAGTCGAGTTTGAAGAGGCTGACCAAGCGACTGGCCTTCCCATTCAAAGAGGCTGAGATCAGATACTGGAAGGACGTTCTGAACACGGTGCAGCAAAGTTTGCAGACTGCACTATCTGCCCTTCTAATTGATCAACAGCGCTTGGCTTTTGAAGATGTTCAGGCACGCTTCATGCAGCTGTCCATCGAACAAAGTGCGCAACACTACACCAGCCTAGAACTGCAGCGCAATGGCTTTAATAGCACAAGTTTCCAGCTCGCTGGACACTCACACATTGTCGAATCGGGGTTTTCGGCCACGTCACACAGTTTACAAAACCTCCATACCGGTATACACAGTTTACAAGCAAAGCTCGACGAGATATCGCTCATGACGGACTCTACGCTGGATACCGATATCATTAACATGAGATCGCTCCACCGAAAAGACCGAAGACTGAAACAACGATACGCAAAACTCTCATGTACATGCCGGCCGCAAACCTCAGCGCTTGGTTACCAAACGAGAAGGTTGGCCATCACATACGCACGAACCAGCATGCACGACGCAGGGTGTCCTCAAGCTCCACTCCAGAACGCGGTGACGGATCTGCAACTTCGAGCTAGACTGTGTAGTCTTCTTCTCGGGAAGAAAGTCTTGCTGTCGTTTCAACTATCTTATGGCGCTGGATTATCGGTTAAGCAGAATCTTGAGTGCCATCGCGTTGTTGAATCGTCTCCTGCTTTCGAGTTTGCCGGGCCACTTGTCAGTTCTAGTATGAAGTTGCCAATGAACACTTTTCGGAGCGAAGTCGAGAAATTGTTGAGGATGTTCCAGGTGAAACAAGCGTCACCACGTGATCGGCTAGCAAATGGAGAGACGCTTCTGCATGCATGTATACAGCCCCCGTCTTTACGGAATTAAAGCTGACCACCAATATAGCAATTTTGTCACAGCGTTGCCAGTTTATCACGTGTCGAAAGCTGTGCCGATACTTCTGAGAACCTTGCTTATCTGTTCAAAACTCTCCTTTCAACAATGCCAAATGAAGCTTTCGAGAGAGACGATGATGGGCTGTAAGTCTACATTGATTCTTATCCTACATGAGCCTTACTATCACTTCGTGGTTCTGTCGTACCATCTCAAAATGCCAAAAACGCTAAGCGTAGACAGTACATGTATCGACAGGTTGCTTTCATATCACGCCTCTCGGCAGTTTATGGGCTTCCACACGAGTCTTCTAAGATCTCTATTTGAACAAGATCTGCAGATGACTAGGGGTATCTTCAATAGAGCAGCGTTCGCCAGCCAAGAGGGGTTAGCGGTCTTGGCCCAGGTCCGCTACGAAAGTTTCACCAGCCCATTACTAGATGACAGCGAGTTACTAGAGGCGATTGTCGTGAAATCGGACCGTCAACTCCAGGAGTTCTTCCATCAACCCAAGTACTTGTACGCTCTAGATGCCGACACGATCGTCAATGCCCTGATCATGTCTACCGTTACTGGTTGGATGGATGGTTGCAGAGTCCTGCTCAATGCAAACTTGGTTGGATATCTGGAAGACCCTGACTTTGAATTGCGGTACTTCGGTCAAACTTTACTCATGCTCTCAGCCGCTACAAATCAACCGGACATGTTGCAATTTTGGTTGTCACAAAGGGAGACGCACGATGGACCACTGCTCAAATTAATTGGTCACTTCGAGGACGCGCTTCATTTCCATTGGATCTTTGATCAAGGAACTCCCGGTACTGACGTTATCCCGCTCGTATCAAGTTATCTCCTCAAGCAACGACACGAGGTCAAGCTACTGATGGAAGAGCATAACATTCCACATTGTTGTGAACGCGCTCGGACAGGCTTTCCAGATGCACATGTGGTCTGTATTCTCAGTGCACTAGTGACCGCTGGAATTCACGTACCCCAACGGTATTGGCCACAACGGAAAAGCCTTTATTACATGCCACAAATGTGGATGTCCGACAAACTCCTACTATTCGAGTCTTTGGAACTAGCTGGCATTTGCGATATCAGTCAAGAGAACTTCAAGTGTGATAAGGAGACATGCTGCTCGCCGTTGGTGTATCTGGCCACGCAAGTAATGGGGGGTACTGGGTCAATATGGTCAATGTGTTTGACAGAGCGTAGTCTGACAGTCCAATGGTTTCTCTCAAGAGGTGCGAACCTGAGAGACACATGGCCAGGAACGAACACCACCGCTGTACATTGTTTGGCTTGGCAATCTGTTGAATGTCTGAGGACTAAAGTCGTTGGCTCATCTTACGATGATTCTCCTATCATGGAGGAATTCTGGACGTACGAAGATTATGAGTTTCTTGTAAAGGAGGAGATCCTTGACCAGTGCGAATGTGGATGTAGCAGATTCGGGTGCGACTTTCTTTCATGCTTTTGGAAGGAGATATTTACGGCAAGTTGGTCTTGTCCGCCGTTTTCTCTGCTCTGCGATCGATTCAGAAACACAATTTCAGCGAGAGAGTTGGGAAACGTCAGGGTATATGCACCTGACGACTACGTCGAGTTGGGATATATTCTCTTGACGGGGACATTCCTCGATCTGACCCTGTGGGTTGACAGAGCGGCAAGCACACTCGCCCTCCCTCGACTCATCTATGAATACATCCGCCTGTTCGTGTTCTCATACTTGGAGATACGACACACATGTTGCGATATTAATCGCATAGAACACTACAACAGTCCTGATTACACAAAGCAACCATACCCTCGGTATTCTCCAAAGGGACTACGGCGCATCAATCTTGAGGACGCACATCTGCGCACACGTCTCGAACAGCTAGTCCCCGAGCTTATCACCCGATACGATTCTTTTGGAGGAAAGCTCCAAGACTTTGTCATAGACGTTCTCATTCCGACAATGCGCAAGACTGCGAAGGAATTGAAAGAGGAAGACAAGACACTGTACGCGGCGGGCAGAAGAGAATTGGGCGTTGTAATGGATGAGGATGAAGAAGAAATTGAAGGGGAGAGTAGTGAAGTGGAAGAGGAAGGCACGGACGCCGAAGAAGATTCGGACAACGAGTACTAAAATGATCATGCACTGGTTCCTTCATCATGTTTTGAAAGTGCGCAGGCGTTTGTGCCTGAGCAGCAGAGTTTACACCTGGTTTCAATCGCTCCAGCTATCACATATGCATCGGCAAGAGTAACGCAACACTGAACAAAGCCTTCCACGTATATTATTAGATATTACAACAGTTCCCAGCCACTGCCAGCTCCTCCTCGGCGCCACGAAATCGTTCGTCGGGGTATAATGCACCAAAAAATCCACTTTTGTCGCTCGAAATCCACTTTTGGTTGTCGTCATATCGTCGTTCTTATCCTCCTCTTCCTCTTGCTCAATCTTCGTCCATATCTCGTCTTCCACTGCATCTACTCCTCCCCATCTACGAAGCCTTTGACCCAGTATTGTTCGCTGCAGTCGCAGTACCGCAGCCGTAGCTAGCCATGTACGCGGCATTGACGCTCTTGTGGTGCTCAACAGCGTGCCTCTTGACGCCTTCCCACATCTTCTTGATGCTGAGGTTGAGCTTGTGCTGTGTCTTCTCTTCTTGGTTGACGAAGTGGTGCGCGTCATGTGCTGACTCGTGGGATTGACGACGAGACTGGGAGAAGGGTGTTGTAGGACTGGAGGAAGATGGGGTTGAGGCGGAGGAGAGCGATAGAACGCGCGGGTGGCAGTCGAAGTTGTTCATTTTGGTGGTTGGTTGTTTGGTTTGAAGACACCGAAGATATATGAGATAGTTTGGTGGTCTTGGAGTTGAAGATGGAAGTGTAGTAGTAGACTTGATGATAACTTGATGCTGATGCTCCTCCACCCAGCCCACCTCCCCACCCCTTATATACCCCATGGCACCACGAAGAAATTTTCCACCCTTTCCCACCACCAGCCAAAAACGATCGTGAGATCTTGGACACACACACTCCACGTGCACCGTGACTGATTTTTCGCAAAGGTCGCACATGTGGGTCTAGCAAGGTAGCATCGCCTCGCGCTGGTTACCACCGAGTGTCTAGAAGCCACAGGACGCACACCGGAAGACGTCATCATAATACCCTTCACATGTGCCCTGACTAAACCTTTTCAGACCAGAATGACCCCAAGAATGGCTAATGCACATGGCATGATCTCCATTAACCGCTTAGCTCCCGTGAGGCTCTCAGGAGAACGTGGTGAGAGGCGTTGTCGGCTGGCGTCGGCTCAGCATCAACAGACTTTTTATACCGCAGGGTCCCACTGCTACAACCATCACGTTGTTGTCTTTGACACACGAGTTACCTCTAAAGGCCATTTCGTGTGTCATAGTTGCTGTTTGCGCAAAATTGCATATTTCGTCGTGCCTGGAAGAAAGAGAAGGATTGGTCGTTAGTTCAGCCGCGCCCTATCCTGGTAGGGCGTGCGGCTCAACGAAGCTTGGTTGCGTGAGCTGGAATGTTCGCGATGGCGCACGTGGATTCGCGATTGATGGCGAGACTGTTGTTGATGCGCTGAGCATGTGAATGCACAGACTCGAAGTACGTTTGCGGAGTGGTGATGTGGAGGGCGGGTTGCGAGTGTCGCGGGCGCTAGCAAGACACGATGTTTGCCGTTTCCGTCGGATAGCCTTTCCGTCGAAACAATGAGTATCGCCTCACTGATTCTTTCACACCTTGCAGAACTGGATGAAAAGCATGCCATCAATCCGAAGTTGCGGCGATTACGCAGTGGCGGTGCGACCTTTGGCGACATGCTGGCATGATCCTTCATTGGCATCAAACAACTTTTGGGAGTAGTAATTTCTATTCCAAATCACTACGACTACGACCTAGCCGTATTCCTCAAAGTCTTCTGTATACAAGCACAAAGCTCCGGTATCCTAAATGGTTTGCTTATGACATCGTCCATTCCCGCCTTCAACGCCACTTCTACCTGCTCGCTCCTCACATTAGCCGTCACCGCGATGACCGGCACGTGCGCTCTAACAACGCCTTCCTTCTGAAGCTCTCTGATATTCCTAACGCATGTCAACCCATCCATGACAGGCATCTCCCAGTCCATTAGGATGAGTGCGAGTGCCTTTCCCGAGCCATCGGAGATGCAGTACTTTGTTGTGCGCAGATAGTCAAGAGCTTCTCCACCATGATTTGCGACTGCGACCTGCATACCCGTATTCCGTAGCTGCTTGGCCAGGACGCGCTGGTTTACGAGGTTGTCTTCGACGATGAGGACGTGCAGGTCTTTGTTGGGTATGTCGTTCGCAGGAGCGGAAGCTTGGGGTGGTTCGTCCGATTCGTTGCGCGATCGACTTGAAAGCAGCGTCTTTTGCGCACGTATGCTCAAGCTAACGGCCGCATCGCTTTCCGACCGGTTAAAGTTGGGGCGAATAGTGCTTCTACGACTCTTCACGTAGAAGGAAAATGTGCTTCCGACACCGGCTTTAGATGCGAAGCCGATAGCGCCACCATGCATCTCAGTAAGCTTTCGTGAGATGAAGAGACCGAGACCGGAGCCACCTAAATTACGTCAGCAAGTGGTTCAATTACCTTCGAGGTTCATAATCACCATAGTCGATATGTGTGCGCGGAGACGCTTGCGAAAAGCGTGCGAAAAGGAGCTGATGTTCTTCGTCGCTCAAGCCACGGCCCGTGTCCTGCACGGAAAAGATGATGTAGACCTTTTTGCGTTAGTGGAAGAACTGAGACATCGCCTTCAACAGCAGCTTACTAGCTCGCCCTTCTCCCAATCTGCTTGTAGAGTCGCTGCTTCTGATGTTTCCGAGCTACGCGAGAATGGCACGCTGAAACTGTGGGTCGGCTGCTTTAGGGAGACGCCCAGACTGACCCTGATCTCGCGTATCTCTTCTAGTCGGGTGAATTTGATTGCATTGGTGATAAGGTTCTTAATTGTCAGCCGAAGCACCTCAATATGTTTCATGTACTTACGATAAGAATTTGTAAGACCCTTGTAGGGTCTAGCGAAACGAGATCAACCGCGATCTTTGTGCATGACTCTTCGAGCTGGAATCGCAAATCCACACCAGCTGATTTGGCTTCACCTTCGAACATTTTCACCGCGTCTCTCGCGATTGAGTCGAATTTTACATCGACTGGGGTCATTACAAACAAACCGGAGTCCAGCTTAGACATGGTAAGCACGTCGTCCACAATAGTCTTCATGTGCTTCGAGCACTGGACAATGGTTTCGGCAGCGTCAACGGTATGCTCCAATATAGTCTGGTAGACCTTCTGATAATCTGTCGACTTGCTGAAGTTCTTGTGAGCCGAGATAATACTATCTGCACACTGGACTATCGCGGACAGAGGATTTCGCATCTCGTGTGATGTCGTGTCGATGAAGTTTTCCAGACTGCGCTTAGATTCTCGCGCCCTCGTCGCCTGGGTAGCCTGAAGTTTCTCTCCCCATTTCTGCTGACTGTTCAAAGCCTTTAGTTAAGCATAGCGAGATGAAGGAATGACGTACCTGATGTCGGTACAGCAACCGATGATCTCTACTACTTCTCCATTTTCATCGAGCTCAGGGAAAATGGATGTGATGACCCACATTGGCTCCTGTTCGGGGAATGTATCATCCATATGCTGGGTAGGCGCATTCCACCTCTTCTTGAGACGCAACTCAAATGATCTGGTTATAGTAAGCTTTGTCGTACGTCATGACGTACCTATCACTTACTGATGCTGTTTGGTCTCGACAAGTTCCTCAAACTTTGCTTGCCCCATTTCGACGAAGTCATCGTCGATAAGCTTACTCCACGCGTCAGCGAGATCGGTTGCAGGATCCACTGGACCAAGCATCTCAAACCAAGCTTCGTTGCGATACGAATAAACCCCGTCCATTCCTATTAGAAAGATGCCAATATCGGCACGCTCTGCGAAGCGTTTGAACTTTGAGAAATTGCGCTCAGACTCCGCTTGAGACAGGGTCAACTGTTCCTTAAGCTGCGATTTCATTGCTTCCGCATTCGCGATAGTCCGTTCTCGACGCCCGATATCCTCTTCATGGAGTAAAATTGATGTTAAGCAGGTAGAAAGAAGGCGGCTGGCGACCAGTATGAACTGGAGATAATCTTCGTCAAATGGCCGACGGGGGTTAAGCCCAATCACCATGAAGCCAAGGATGTTGTCTTTCGAAGAAGTCGGGTTCAGAGGACAGATGGCTGCCGCTCGGCAGGGATCACCGAAGCCCTGCCACTCAACGTCCTTGACTAACGCTGCCGCCACAGGATCCTGATCGAACCGGATTATGATCGGCTTCCGGGCAGTAAGAGCTTGGCGAAAGTATGGAGTAAAGCCATGGTCTTGTTGGAAGTCCAGATGATCGGGACCTGCGGGCGACCCTTTCGGAAGACCGAATGAGCCACGAAGCTTGCAGTGTTGTTGGTTCGTATCGGAAAAGCGCGTCCTACTCGATTCGGACCCATGCCCGTCTGCTTCAGCCGAATACAATAATGCGAACGGAATATCTTTATCATTGCGGGATAGAACTTCGGTGGCGAGAACCCAGTAAGTATCCGTATTGCGCGCCCTGGGTATCTCTTCGCTTAGCTCTAGAAGAACGCGCGAGCGTCTTTGTGCAATGACCTGTCTAGTCTACACGGCTGTCAGCGGGTTGCACAAATGGCTTCGCAGCTTCAAATATGGCTCCCAACAATTGCAAGAGCATATTGATGCGAGAGCCCATGCTTCCATGAACGTCATCCTCATCCGTACGTAGCGTCAGATGCGCCACTGGAGAAGCAGAGGACGAAAACATGCGGTGAGAGTGGGAAATTTGCAACATACCGTTTCTACCAGGGGCTCATAATGCCCAATTGTGATGCCCTCAGCATCTAGTATAGGTATGAACTTTAAGGAGAAGTACGTCTCTTCCATGAAACCGCTGCGTACCATATGTATCGCGGTGTTCGTCTTTTCCACGGTTTCTCCTGCGAGGTTGGTTTGTATGATGGGTTCAAAATACTGGTCCCAGACTGAAGCAAGCGCGACGCGAGCGCTGACTCCCATGCAAGGGTGGAAGCCACCCAACAGCTC